TTTCTTTCTTTCTTTCTTTCTTTTTTAAACAGTTGTTTCTAAGGATAAATTAAGTCAAGGGAGATAAGTTAAATCAGAGATTTATGGCAGCTGATTTATTATGAAATGAATAGAATACTCTTGATAGATTTTCTCAAAGGACACAAGATAATCACAGAAGCTTATTATGAAGAAGTTTTAAGGAAAATTAAAACTGCACTGGTGAGAAAAATCCAGTAAAGTTGCACCAGTAAAGAAACTATATTCTGTCACAATATGAACCTGCTGTTTCTTTTAGAGTGTAGCAAGTACTATTCTAATAGAATTTTGTTAGAAGACCTTATCCCATCCACCCTAAAGCCCTCATCTTGGTTCTACCAATTTCTTTTTGTTGCCACACTTCAGATAAGTAAGGACAGTGTGCTCCTTAGAGAAGGGTGACGATACTTCGTCTTACATACTGTGGACATGTTGAGAGTCTAGCCCTTAGGGGACATCATGTTTGGTAAAGTAGAGGGGCAGCAAAATAGAGGAAGGCCCTGAATCAGATGGCCTGACACAGTGGCTGTCGGAATGGGCTCAGGCCAAGGAACAATTGTGAGGATGGCACAGTATCATGCAGTGGTTACTTCTGTTATGCACAGGTCATTTGCAGCAGACATTCAAAGAACATTGAAAAGGAACAGCATGGAATGCTCTGACAATGCCAAAATGTTTTAAGTATGTCAAGAATTTGATCTTTGTGTTTTTAGCTTGGTTCCATTGAGTTGAAAGAATAAACTTTGCATGGTTTAAACCCTTTTAAATGTGTTGAGGTACATTTTATAGTCCAAGCTATATTGGATTTCTATGGGCATTTGCATAGAATGGGTTCTGTAATTGTTGGGTAATGCAGTCTATAAATGTGAACCATAGGTGGATAAAAATGTCAAGCTCTTCCTTAGTATGGCTGCAGAGTGATTCTATCAAATTTTGAAAGAGAAGTCTCATACTATAATTGTCTATGTATCTATTTCTTCCATTAATGTTTATTAGATTTTGCCTCGTGTATTTTGTAGTCCTATTTTTTGGTGATGAGGAGCTCTAGTGGCTTAGTGGTTAGGAGTTGGGCTTCAATATGCAAGGTCAGCCGTTCAAAACCACCAGGCACTCCTCAGGAGAAAGACAAGGCTTCCTACTCATGTAAAAAGCTCCAGTCAGGAGCAATTCTACCCTGTCCCATAGGGCCACTAGATATGAGTCAGAATTGATTTGAGTGCAGTGAGTTTTGATGCATAGAAATCTAGCATCATGAGATATAAACTGCTGACACCTGAATCATTATTAAATGTGTCTGGCAGTTTTCTATGCTCTGAAGTCTAGTTGTTCTGATACTAATAGCTTTTCCTATTTTCCTTTGTTTAATGTTTGGAAGGTATCTCTTTTTTCACCTTCGAGTTTTTAATCTACCTATATGCTGTATACCTAAAAGGACTGAAGAAAGTTTTACTAAAAACCACCAGTTGGCACAAACTTGCTTGCTGAAAGTATGGAGGACTTGCGGCACTTGCAGGAGATCAAGCACTGCATCCTTCAGTTATGGGTTAGAGGTCCATGTAAAGAGAGTGGAAATCCTCACTGGACCAATAGACACCACCATGATAAATGGAGAAACCATTGAAGTTGCCAATGATTCCATTTTGCTTGAATCCACAATCAATGCTCATAGAAGGAGCAGCCAAAAAATTAGACAACACACTACACTGGGATAATCTGCTACACAAGACCTCTTGAAAGTTTCAAACAGCAAGGATGTGACTTTGAGACTAAGGTGTGTCTGACTCAAGACAGGTTATTTGCAATCAACTTCATATGCATGTAGAAGTAGGAAATGATTATGAAAGATTCAAAAAGAAATGATACATTTGAATTATATGTTAGTGGAAGATATTCAAAGTTCCCTGGACTTCCAGAAGAACAACTAAATCAGTCTTGGAAGTACAGCCAACATGCTCCTTAGAAGAGAGTATAGCAAGCCTTCATCCATGTATTTTGGACATGTTATTTGGAGCGAACACTCTCTGAAGAATACATCGTGCTAAGTACAAAGTAGTAAAAAAAAATTGCCTTATACTCTCCTTAAACACATCCATAGTTTTAACTACAAAAGTAGCATACAAAGCATGAACTTAATTTACTCTTACCTTGCTCACTGCCATTTGTACAAATGTTAATATTAACATATGCACAAGCAGGACCAGGCTGGGATGATCCTGTGGTGAGTGTAATTTCCAGTTCAAACCCTTTTAACTTGAACACATGAAAGTATGTGATGAAATAAATGCAAAAAAAAACTACTAACATAAAAGTTATTGCTTTTTAACCAACCGCTGCTTACTTTAAATAAAAATTCTCACAATGAACAATATTTGACTTGTTTGGTTTTAAAAATAAGCCC